TGGCTGTGAGGGAGGAAGCTGCCGGGCCGGGCCGGGCCGGGTCGGGTCGGGCCGGGCCCGGCGGTGCCTGTGGGTGGGCCCTTCTCTGAGGGGTGGCCCGGCGCCTGTAGGCAGCGGCGTGGCATCTTCCGGGTTTGGTTAAAAAAGAGGGGAAACCCCCCAAAATAAAAGGGGGGGATGATGCCTCTGGGCTCTGCGGGGAGCCCGGCATCTCCTCCCTCCCCGAGAGCTCCTCAGGCGCCTTGGGTGGCTGTGGATGGGGGTGCCGTGGGTGCCCAGGGGTCAGGGAGCGGGCCCTGGGGTCACAGGCGGCTCCCTTGGCTGCAGGACTGTGAAACGGCTCCTGCTAGGCTGGTCTCTGTTTCCCCAGGGTTATAACCTGTCAATTCTTGCAGAACCCAAGCGTCTTGAAGGAGCCTGTCCGTGTGAAGATGTCCTGGCATGGCTCAGGCATGGTGCTGGGGGTGACTGCCTGCTTCTCGATATTCCCCCCAGATCAGGGTCAGAGTAACTCATGAGCAGGCTGCCTCGCTGGTTTGAAACTTGGTGGCAGCCGCAGCTCAGCATCTTTGGTGCGTAGCCCATGAGACTTCAATGGGGAAAAGCCCCATCTTCCTTCCACCAGCATCAGCTCTTGTCCCTTCGACATCCAGAGGGTGCTGGTGTGCCTGACGCGGTGCTTGCTGCCTTCAGTTTAGTACTAGGGGATGAACCCTCCGTGCAGAAGGGGTGAGATGACAGGAAGCACCCAAGGTCCCCTGCTCACAATGGGGAGGCTTGCCAATGCCTTGGTGACCTCCCCTGCCTTGTAGTGGCACAACTGGCTGCAGGAGGGTCTAGGAAACTTTGGTGGTACTTGCTCAGCAAACCAGGTCACTGTGGTGCTGCACAAATTCCTCGCTGAAGGTGGAGGTGTGAATGGTGAAGGGTTTTAGTGCCTTTTCTTGTTTCTAATGGTCTCCTGTGCATGAATCCCTGGTTGCTGAAGGCTGTTGGTGTTAACTCATGCCAGCTTTGGCCAGCTGTGCTGGCATTTGCTCCAGATAGCAACCAGCAGACAGGAGGGGAGTTAAAATGCTGGCTGGCGCTTTCCCAAGCTGAATCCCTCCCCACCCAGCCACTGGCTTCAAGTTCATAGGTTTGGTGTCTGCACCGAGTGAGGATCTCTACTAGAGGGGCTGCAGAAGCTGTCTCCTCCACCAGGCTGGTTGCTTGAATGCTGCAGGTACTAGGGTTGATTTCCTAAGCTCTGCGAGCTGAGGCTGGTCAAGTTGTCCCCTGTGAGGGCTGACTTGTGGCCTCTGCCTGCTTCACCCAGGCTTTTTCCAGCCTGCCTGCTCCTGCTGGCAGGGCAGGAGGAGTTGGTGTCGCTGGCAGGAAGCTCTCCAGAAACCTTCACCTGTCTGCAGTTTCCCAGCCCTGATGTTTTCCCTGGGTTGGGCTCAGGGAGGCCTCGAGCAGAAGACCATGGCTGTGAACATGCACACCTGCCTGCTACTGGGAACGGAGCTGGCCCAGCCAAGCTTCTCCTGCCACCGGCATAAAGCCGGAGCTGTCTCTGCCCTGATTCTGGTGGAGCTCCTGGCCTGGTGCTGCCCTGATATCCTTGAGCCATGCTTGTTCAGCAGCAGGCTGTCTTCTGCTGGTGGCTTAGCAGCAGGGATCAAGGCAGATTTGGGGAGATGTGGGTAGATTCTGCCCTACGTGAGCTTGTGAGAATGAAACTCTCACATCAGTCTGGGCAAAACAGCCATGGGGTTGTATGTTTTGAAAATAACGTGGGAAAGTGCAACCTTGGCCTTGCAAGAGGAAGATACTGGCACTAGGGCATGATGATGGTCTTGAACTTCTCCAGACCTTTCTTAGTTGAAGAACTGGAAGATATGGTAGGTGGCTCATTGCTTTGTGGTAGAGGCAGCCTCCCTAAATGGACGAGTGCCAACTGCTGTGGGCTTTCATGCAAATAAAGCCTCCCTTTGCTGAAACTGGAGTCTGTTCAGCTAAAGCAGCTTATCAGGTGCTTAGTGTTGTTGTTGAAGCAACTGTCATAACTAATACTTGGCTCTTCTGTGTGACCTGGTGGCTTTACTTGTCTGTCTGCCCTTGAGTGTTAGGAAAACACTTTCTGTGAAGCAGGGGAGGCAGGCTGGTGAGGCAGATCCACCTGGCTGCTGGCGTTCAGCTGGCTTGACAGCGCTTAGCCATCATACAGTAGCCAGCAAAGAAGTGTTTGGGTCAGACACAAACATAACTGGAGCTGGACCTCCAGTTGATGAAGGTTGAATCCTTGCATGACCATAGTCCTCTCTAGGGATGCCCTCAAGGACCAGCTCTTCTGACGCAAGGTCTGCTTCCCTGTGGTAAGCATCAGGCTTTCGCTGGGGGACCTAGGGAGCTTCTGCCTGCACACGTGATGGTCGGGGTGTGCTAAATCAGGCCTCTGAGGTGGTGGGTGTGGTGTCATGGGCTGATCTAAAAGAGGCCATGGCTTTTCTGTAGTAGCAGATGGAGAAGTAGGAACGAGGTATGGTACTTTCATAGTCTTAGAAACTAAATTTAAGGCATGCTGAGAACCGGTCACAGTAGAAAAGCAGATAGCCCTTTTCTGTGGTTGAGAGCTGGGAGACTCATTAGGGAAACTTCAGAGCCTACCTTACCTTGTTCGTGTAGAGGGGGGTTTCTTTACCAGCTTGAAGAGCTCCCGCAGAAGCAGAAGATCTGAATGAGACCCCTTACAAATGTCCCTAACGTAGGTCACTGGTGGTAGTAGCCCTCTTGTTGGCTTGGCTGCTGGCTGGAAGAGGTCCTTGTGGTGGTAGCACTCTCGTTGGCTTGGGTGCCAGTCTGAAAGACCCTGGGGTGGGTCTCTCTACTCCCTGCTCTCCATCACTTGCAAATGTAGCTCCTGCCTATAACTGTTGTGATCCAGGCTGGGAGCGGTCCCAGCTTTCTCCTCCAGGAAAACACCCTAAAATACAGGAGGACTCACCATCAAACAGTACTGCTGTTTTACATACCCAAAGATTTACAGCTTGTCTTTGAGGTGGGCTCATTAGCACCACTTTAATCCTTCAGGAGCAGTGGGAACCAATGATGTTTCCTTGCTGAAGAAAGTGCCAAGGAGCCTGTCGGTTCGGAGTCGCTGCTAATAGTGCTCCATTTACTGGCCGTCAAAGACCTGTTCTGTTCTCTGTGAAGACAGTTAAAGAATAGCACTTGCTGTCTGATTCTTGCTTGGAATGACTTGTACTTGCTTGTCTGCCTGCAAAATGAGGGATGATTCGTGATGCCAGGGTCCGTAGCATTTGTCTGCAGCAGGAATGCAGAAACAGCTCTGCCTTCTGGTGTGGTCGACTGGTTGGCATCCAAGCTCTCGGGTGGGCTTTCACCATGTCCCCAAGCCTGCTCCCAGTAGTCAGGACGGTCCCCCCTGCCCCACGAAGCTACGTGCCCAAGGGGCTGTTTGCTGTGGCAGGATCAGCTGTGTTGTAAGTCCCGGCCCTGGGGCTCGGGGCTGGCTTGTCCTGGCTGAGCCATATGTGGGGAGCACAAGGTTTGGGTCACAAAGCATGGCGTGCAAGACTTTGCCAGCATCACTTTGCAAAACACGGAGAGCCATGCCCAGCTTTAGTCCATCCGTGACAGCCTTGTCTCTGCTGCAAGGGGTGTTGTAGGAGGGGATGGTGCGGCTCCATGAAGCTGGCTCCCAGCAGTGCTGGAGCGGCGGAGTCCACACGCTCCTCTCGCACCACTTGGAAGTGAGCTGCTGCATTAAAGCACAGCCCGGCTGCCTTCATGCAGGCCCTAAGCAACCCTCTGGGGAAGCGCAGCTCGGCTTGTGGTGGCGGTTGAACTGCTAGCACAAGTTAAGCTGCTGACAAGGCTCGTGTGGTCCCCGGCGTCTTGCCTTCAGGCAAGCAAATTGCCGCGGGTCTCTGCTGCCAGCAGTGACAGCTTGGTTTTCCCAAGGGATCTCCTGTCAGCAGCATGCTTGGCTCACTATGATTATTAAGTGCTGGAGGCTCCCTAGTGCTGCCCACCTGCCTTGATGTGGTGTTAAGTGCTGATGTGCAAGTCACTCCCTGGAAATGGGATGGCTGGGTGTGTTATGGGTGTTGTGAGCAGGAGGACTTGTGTATACTCAGCTGCCTACCGCTCCTGACACCTGTAGCGGAAGGATTGGGGCTGTGACACTTGGTCTGTGGACTGGCATGTCCCGGTGACCTGCTAGTTGCTCTTGTTCTGCTAAAAATCAGGGTTAATACTGGCTATGAAGTTTCGCATTATACTTGGTGTCCTTAATGGCTCAGATGCCTCAGTACAGCCTTGCTGGCAGAGGTTGTAATGCTCAAGGATGGGTGGAAGGGAAGCAGTCTGTGATGTCCTCTGGCCTCTCTGCTCACGCAGTAATGACCCTCTGTGGCAGCGGCTAGGAAGGTGAGCTGTTTGGTCCTCCAGCCTTCATTCCTCAGTGTAAATGACCTCTTGCTTATGTGCTTTTAATTCTCTTACAGAGCAAGCCCACGGCACTGAAAAGGGAATCTCTTCTCCCTGTGAGCAGCGCCTCCAAAGAGAATGGGGTTCGTGTAGAGCAAGATGATCAGGACTTATTTGCAGGTGAGTCTGTATCTACTGGGTATTTGGGGCTTTCTGAACTCTAAGCCTGGAGTGATCTGCTTTTAAGCATGACATGCAGGTCATGGATATTTCTGGACTATCACAGGTCCTTATCTCAAACTCATGTTCCAGTCTGTTCTGGAAGCACTAAGCTCTGGTGGTGTTTTTAGGAAGGTCGGAGTAGCCTCCTCCAGGTCTCTAGCGTAATCATGTGGCAGGATTAACTGTTTGGAAGCTGAAGAGGATTAAAATGGGGTTTGCTTTAGTTTTGTTGCCTTAAACTGTGAGGTGGTGAGTGTCTTCTCAGAGTTAAAAGGCTTTTGTTCTTTACTTTCTCCTCCCTCCATGCAGGTGGAGGAAGCATCTCTAGTAGAGACGTGGCTGTTCCCAAGGAACAGGAAACGTAACACCCCTCAGCAGGGGAAAACAAGGAGGGTCAGACCTTCCCCAGCCCTGGCATGGTTGGAGACCTCTGGCAGAGGCATCTGAGAGTCAATTCTGAAGACACCTGCTAACAGATGGAAGTTTTTGCTTCCTCAGGGTGGAGAATTGTACTGGGAAGGAGCCTACCTTCCAGGCTGGCCTACATGTCATGTGAAAATCCAGCTTGGCTTTAGCTGTTCTAGTGTGCGGCTCCTCTAGCATACAGTAAGGAGGTGGTGCCTGGCTCCTTCTAGAATAAGAAGTTCATTGGATTAACTTAATGTTCTCTAGCAGGATTGATCAAATGCTCTTACCGCAGTGAAGATGCATTAAGTCGTGCTCTTCCCAATGCTTACAGGTGTCCTCCCTATGGATTTTTTTTGCTAATTAAGACTATAGTTACTCCCTAGATCCCATGAACCTCTCCGAGAATATTGAAATTACCTTTCCAGAAACTCAAAAGTAGAGAGGCTGACCCTTGCAAACTTCTCTTGACAGATGCCACTGTAGAGTTGTCTCTAGACAGCACGCAAAACAACCAGAAGAACGAACTGGCCAAAGCATCCAATCCTGCCCCCTCATTAGAAGTAGCTGCAAGCTCTTCTTCTAGAAACCCTCCAAAGAGCTATGAGGAGGTGAGAATTGCTCTGAGCTTTCCAACTTGCCCTGCTGGTTTCAGACTGTAATTGGCAGGAACCTGTCTGTTTACTTAGTTGTAAACATGCATCTTAAATGATGCAATTAATGTAATTGCCATACTGGATGCCCTGGCTTGTATCTCAGGCCATCAGTCTGGGACTGATACGGCTGAAGTGGGGTTCAGGTCAGCCTGATGGCATTCTTGCTTGTGTGGTGGTGCAGACTGCTTCCAAAGCTGAAATAGCAAGCGGCTGATCTGATCCTAAGAGTCTGAGCTCTGACTCGAAGCTCTAGCATGCTGTATTGCTGCAGATGGGGCAAGTAGTGTAGCTGCTCTTGTCCATGTTTTTTTTAAAAGAAATAGTCTCCTGGATGACATGAGAGCACAGGGTCCTTAAGTGGAACTTGTAGTCTGGTTGCCAAGCCCAGTTAATCAGGTGGTACTTGGCCTAAATCTGGGTTTTCTCCTGTAGAGAGACTGAAACTATTTTGGAGACAAAGAAAGTGGTTCTTTTCTGCCCCAAGCACCCCTGAGGTCATGAGGATGGACTCTGCAGTGCCATCGGGAGTAGTGTCTCAGGTTGGCTTCAGACTGGCTTAAAGTGAAGGAGCAATGCAGAAGTAGGCCAGGACACTGAGCTGGTCAGCGAACTGATAAGCTGTCACCTTCAGGTTCATAGACCAAAGGCTATATGGGGCCAGTCCTTTAACACCATTCCACTGCAATGCTTGCTAAGCAAGCCTGAAGCCTCTGTGGTCTGTCAGAGGCAGTACTGTGGTATAGCTGCCCACTGGCCTTTAGCACAGCAGGGTACGATGGAAAGACCTGTTCAGATGGGGTCTGCCTATTGCTATCCTGGGTCTCCATCCCCGTGTGCCTACACGGTACAACTTGCCTTTTCCATAGGTTCAGTATCTTACACTGTTTTGGATGAGAACTGAAATCATGATGGAAAAGAGCCCAAAGGGAAATGTCTTGCGCAGAGCTGAGGCTGGACTCTGCAGAGTTTCACCTTGGGGCTGAGCAGTTTGTACATCAGTCTGTGCAGATAGTGGTGTAATAAAGACAAATCCAGTTTGGGATCATTGGAACATGTATCCTGGACGCAAGTGAGAAGCTGAAGGGCTTTATAGAATGGCCTTGGCCTGAAGTGCCAAAGATGCCTTGGCAGTGTGACAAGCTCGTCGTAATGTATGGGACTTCTTGGTTTGGGGTGGTTTGAAGCCTGGCTTTCTAGTTTTAACTTGCTGTCCTTGTGTGCTTGCTCCAAACAGCTGGAAGAAGAGGAACAGGAGGACAAATTTGAGCTGACTGTAGGAGTGAGCGACCCAGAGAAAGTTGGTGAGTTAATGTCCTGTCCTGCTGCACAGTGAAGCACAGTTAGACAAGCTAGGCTTGGCAATAGGACCAAATGCAGCTATCACTTCCATGTGCCACAGCTCCAGCTTTTGAGCTGTCTCTGCAAGCACAAACTTAATCCCAGAGTAACTTCTCCAAGACTCCTTCCAACATCTAGAAGAAATGGAGCTACACAAAGCAAAATGCCTAGGTCACAAACAAGAAATGCAGAAGCAGGTTCTGGAAAGCTGGGGACCTCAAAGACAGGGAGCCAGGAGCAGTTTTTTTGAAAGGGTGAATTGTGATGCTTGCAGTAGGAGAGCTTAGTATCTGGAACTGTGGTGACCAACTTGACTTGACCTCCAGGCAGCACTGTCCTGTGTGCAGCTGGCAAGGGGGAGGCAAAACTGCCTTAACCTAAACTAAGTGTATTATTCCATGCTCTAGCACCTTCCCTGGCAGCTGTGCTTGCCAGGGAAGCAGCTCTGGCTTCAAACTGAGAAGCAAGAGGGTTTCTTTCTGTTGAAAGTGGGGGTCAGAGGAACTTGGCCAGCTATGTGGCGGTCCCTGGGGTACAGAGAACCCAAGGTAACATCTGATCCCAGCCAGCGGAGCAGCGTCACGAGTGGCAGCTTGTTCTCACTCCATGGCTTGTGATCTCTGGCGCTGGGAGGTGCACTGACTTGTAAATCAGAGGTATATTAGGGGTAGCATCAGACCTCTGAGGATGCCCTTCAGTTGAACTACCAGGTAGACAAGGGGATTTCTGTGTTAGCTGGAGAAAACTGCCTGTGATGTTTCAGAATCCAACCACATGCAGCCAGGGGCTGTCTGACTTGCATCCTCTGAATAGACTGCTTCATGTGCTGTACAGCCACCGAATTGTTGCGTGCTGAGCAGATGTGTGGAGTCAGCCCAAATGCTGTTGGTGTAACAAGCGCCTGATTGTCAGTGTTGGCTGCCTTAGGAAGTAAAAGGACGGCTAAGCAGTCAGGTTGGGGAAATGCCTAGTGGGCAGGAGTCCAGGGTCCTGCGGTGAGATGCTGCCTGTGGTTCTGTTTGAAGATCTGGGGCTCCGTCAGGCCAAAGATCAGAACCACTGAAGCAGGCAAAGGCCAGGAGATTGCAGGAGCCTTGTGCTTTGCATTCAGGTGGTAGTGGAAAGTGCTGATCTTGTGATGCTAATGCCTTGTTTCTGTTTTCTGTAGGGGATGGCATGAATGCGTATGTAGCCTACAAAGTGTCAACACAGGTACGTCTAACTTGTCACTCCTGAGATGGGGTGCCATTATTTTTCCATGCTCGAAGGCAGCTGGACTCTGTTCTCAGCCAAGCCAGCGGTGACCTAAATAGACAGGAGGTCTGAATGCCTTGATACATGGATTCAGGAGTTATAATCCACCCCTACAGATCAAAGGATGAGCCTAGCTGAGAAATAGGTTTTGAATCTATTTGAAAGGAGACTGTCTTTTTTTTCAGCCAGTTACTTTTGCAGTCCTGACTGATACTGATGCTCAGCATTGGACTGAGCAGCAGGAATGACATCTGTTAGGGAGAGCCCCAGACACTGAGGCTGTTGCTGAAGGTTCTGTGGCGATGGTCGCATCAGATTAAGCTGACCTGAACCCGTCTCTCGCTGAAGGTCTCCTGCTGTAGCTAGTTTCATGTCAGGACCTGCTCTCCTGGGCTAGGTTGCAAGAAATTGAGCCTTCTGCAGCTGCTGCCCTGCTTAGAGCTTTGGGGTGCTGCTCTGAGCTCTGCAAAAAGTTGTTCTTAGCTGTCTGTACAGCAGCTGCTGGACTACAGGCTTCCTGTGGTCTGAAGCTGATGGTGTGTGAAGGGGACTAGGGGACTTGTTAGCCTCCACTCGTGCTCTGCAAACACAGTCAAAAGCCACTGGTGGCCCCTGTAGTCTTAAGGTGATAAAGTGTGACCTGACAGCGGTCCCTGTTCCTGCGTGGAGCAGGGGTGATGGGGTTAGGCAGTGGGCAGGGCTTACCAAGCAGCCTGCAGCCACAGTAACAGCTGCTCTGTTATTTAGTGGTATTAATACTGCTGCTCAGCCCAAGGAGAACTGTTAGGAGGTAAGTTGCTGAAAACCTAGGCCAAAGCTTGCTCTATTCATTCCTCATCTCTTGCAGAGCTCAAGCTGTCCTATTTCATCCCCAGAAGTGACAGCAGATAGAGCTAGCAAGGCTGTGCGTGCAGGGGCAAGCTTCCCTGGGTGAGTCTGATCTGAGTCTCGTCTCTTCCCCCAGACGAGCATGCCAATGTTCAGGAGCAAGCAGTTTTCAGTGAAAAGGAGGTTCAGTGACTTTCTGGGTCTCTATGAGAAGTTGTCGGAGAAGCATGCCCAAAATGGGTTCATCGTTCCTCCACCGCCCGAGAAGAGCCTCATAGGTGAGTGGTGGAGGTGCAGAGCACTAGAGCGGGTCCTTCTGATGGTGAGCTTTGTGCCTGAAGGACAGGCCTGCCTGCAGTCTCAAAGCTGAGAGGGAAGCTGCAGAGTAGCTGTGGGAAGCAGGTGTAGAAAATAATCTGGGTTCTGTGGCACAGACAAAACTGGTTCCATACTTGGACCTCTGGGCTTAAAGCCTTGTTTGAGTTTGCAGGTGCCTCCACATCTGCTTGATGTAGAGTAAAACCTTATCCTCTGTGCTGTCACTGAATTGCTGTTCACTTGAGTCCAGACCTGTAACCCTTCTGGTCTTGCCTGGCATTGCTTTTCCTCTTTACTGGATGTCAACTGCTGCTAGATGTTAAATATAAGCAGATTTTAAATTTCCAAGTAGCTGTTGCTGATGCAAGGTCTAATTCCCGTTGTAAAACACCTCTCCTCTACTGTCACCCTGATAGTCTGTACTTTGTAACAAACCACACTACCTTATGTGTTGAGTTTGAAGCAGCTCATTAATTGCATCTTCCGTCTGTGCTAGGAATGACCAAAGTGAAAGTTGGGAAAGAAGACTCCTCCTCTGCAGAGTTCCTAGAAAAAAGACGGGCTGCTCTAGAGAGGTACAGACCCCAACAACTATCCCCTCGTGCCTGAATCAAGCAAGGGACCTCTGAAAGGTCAGACTGGCTGCACTCTCCTCCCTACATGAGAAAAGCCACCTGCTTCTAGGCTTGCAGCAAACCTGGAGGCCACTGAAGAGTTGCAACTGCAGAGAGTTGCTCTGACTCTGTAAAACAATCTCCTGCTTCAAAAGCCTCTGCTGGCGTTTGGTCCAAATCTGGCCAAACTCCCCTGACAAGGCAGGGAGAAAACTGAACTGTCTCAGGAGCCCAAAAATATGGATGTTAAGTAATTGTACAAACAGTGCAGATCAGGTGAGAAACAACTCGCTCTCTAACTTGCACCCTAACTACACGGCCACAAGTGGCCTTTGCTCTGTCACCTGTGTTGACTGTTGTAGTTAGCACTGGGATGCTGATCCCCTCCAGCTTCAGCCTCTGTAAGATCTATTAATGTGTCACTGTTAAAGATGTAAGGCTGGATCTTGATCACTTGATGTATCAAGTAACTTTCTTGCTATAGCAAGTATTAATCAAAGGCCTGGCAGGTCTGGTCTTGCAGGCTAGTCTCACTAAAGCCCGCAGGGAGGTAGGACTCTTGGTGGGTGAATGAGAACAGCTTGTTGGGCCTGACTTCCAGCTGCCAAACTCCCATTTCAGAGTAAATGACAAGTGTGTTGCAGCTCACTGTGATGGCTCGAAGCCAGGTTTGCTATGACCAAAGTAACTCTTGGTGTGTTCCTCTCCACAGGTACCTACGGAGAGTGGTCAGCCATCCAACAATGCTGCAGGACCCAGATGTCAGGGAGTTCTTGGAAAAGGAGGAGGTCAGTAGTGTGGAATAACGTAGCTACAAGTACCTTGGAATTGCAGAAGGAAATGGTACACAAGCAGTTAACAAGGCATGATGCTCAAAGCTCAGTGAGAAGCAGCAGAACCCTGTCAGAGCTCTTAACCAGTGATGATAACAGGTGTGCGGGATTGACCCTGGCTGGATGCCAGGTGCCCACCAAAGCTGCTCCATCACTTCTCAGCTAGACAGGGGAGAGAAACTATAATGAAAGGCTTGTGGGTTGAGATAAGGACAGGGAGAGATCACTCACCAATTACCATCATGGGCAAAACAGACTCGACTTGGGGAAAATTAATTTATTGCCAATCAAATCAGAGTAGAGTAATGCGAAAACAAAAACAAATCTTAAAACACCTTGCACCCACCCCTCCCTCCTTCCCAGGCTTAACTTTACTTCTGATTTTCTCTACCTCCTCCCTGCTCCCCCCCCGCCAACCCCAGCAGTGCAGGGGGATGGGGAATGGGGGTTGTGGTCAGTTTGTCACATGTTGTTTGTGCTGCTCCTTCCTCCTCAGGGGGAGGACTCGTCACACTCTTCCCCTGCTCCAGCATGGGATCCTTCCCATAGGAGACAGTCCTCCACAAACTTCTTCACTAACCCTCCACAAACTTCTTCACTAGCCTTGGTGTCTACAGAGTTGTTTCACGTATTCTCACTCTTCTCGCTGGCTGCTGTTGCTCTTGTGCAGCAACTTTTTCCCCTTCTTAAATATGTTATCCCAGAGGTGCTACCACCGTGGCTGATGGGCTCAGCCTCAGCCAGCGGTGGGTCCGTCTTAGAGCTGGCTGGCATTGGCCCTATCAGACATGGGGGAAGCTTCTAGCAGCTTCTCACAGAAGCCACCCCTCTAGCCCCCCCGCTACCACAACCTTGCCACACAAGCCCAATACAACAGAACTTTCTTCTGTGTCAGTGCTGGTCTAAGCACTGTGCGCTCATAAAGAGTTCTGGCCTAGCTTGCATACATCATGGTGGGAGCACGCATGGAGAGCAGGGGTAGTCTTTGTTCTCTGAAATCCATGATGGGAGTGTAGCCTGCTGTTCAGAGGTACAGGGTGGTCCTGTGCTGGCTTGGCCTGATGCTGAGATGTTAAAGGAGAGCTGGCTCTGTACTGGAACATGTGGCTGATGTGGTCCCTGCTCCTCCAAGGAGAGTGTGACCATACCCAGCTGTGCACCTGACGTGGAGAAGTCATTCTTAAAGAGGCTGAGCCCTGGGGAAACCCTAGCCTGAGTGATTCCAGCACTAATGCTGTGCTGGAGGGCTCTGCTGTAGGAGCAGACATCACAGAAATACCTCACTTTGCTGCTGAGCAGATGCAGTTCCATCTGGAAGTCGGTGGCTGGTGTAGAGTATTTCCCAGTGTCAAAGCACCGCCCTGTTCTAGTGTTCCCCCATAGTGCAAACTGCTACTGGCTTTTGGAGAGATGCTCTGAAGCACTTCTATGTGCTTGTGTGACCTGTGGCAGCTTGGGCAGCCCTCAGTTCAGGGATTCAAGTGGCATGGCTGGTTCTTGCAGATCTGTGTTACCTTGGCCAAGCAGAACAGGCAGACCCCAGGTACGGTGTAAGGTTTAGGAACTCCTCATTTGTTTGAAAACCCCTCCAGTCCTGTTATTGGAAATATTGTACAGGCTGTGGCACCGCTCAGGTGGTGTCTGGCTATTCCTTTGCAGTAGCTGTGGTGCATGCATTGCTGTGTGCAAAGAAACCCTGCCTGCCAAGGGACCCACAAGGGAGAATGATGCCACTGTGGTGGCTGCTCGCTAAGCTGCTTTTATCTCCTGGCAAAGAAAACTTTTCTTTTTCTTTATAGCTACCAAGAGCAGTAGGCACCCAGACCCTGAGTGGAGCAGGAATACTGAAGATGTTCAACAAAGCTACGGACGCTGTCAGTAAAATGACCATCAAGATGAACGAATCGGACATAGTAAGTATTAGGACACCTCTGGACTGTCCTTGTGCTGGCGCTGCGTGCTCTCCCCAGCTCAAGCTTTGGGTGCGAGATGCAAGGAAAGCTCCGCAGCGATGCATCTGTGGGAATCAGCTCTGGGTTTACCCATTTCAGTGGTTTGAGGAGAAGCTGCAGGAGGTGGAGTGCGAGGACCAGCGGCTACGGAAGTTGCATGCTGTCGTTGAAACACTAGTGAACCACAGGAAAGGTAACAAACTTGGTACTGCTTGGCCTGTAACAGTTAAGCCTTCTGCGGTGCCTGACTGGAGGTTCCCAGCACGCGGGTGTCCTAGGAGGCACATGACAGAAGATATGACAGTGCTTCCTTTCTGTAATGGACTCTCAGTCTCTTCATCATGAGAGACAGAAGGAAAATGGTAATCCCACCTCTTCTGTCCAGCCCCACAAGCTTAGGATGATGGTGTTGAGGTGAACCAGTGTCCTGCTGGATGAAGGCTGCCATGGCAAACCTGAGCAGACCTGGTCATCTTACTAATTCCGAGCTGTCCTCTGGCAGGGAGCAGGGATATTTTTCTTCCTCTGCATATTTTGGCTGACTTCTGCAAAACTGTGCCTGTCCTTCCACCCTGCTGCTTCCTTTCTCCTCCCTGGCCGCAGCTGGCTAGCCCTCCTCCTGCCGTGCTGCAGAAGCTGCCAGCTCTGACCGAGACAGTGCTGGCTCTTCCAGCTGATGTCTCCTGGGGCTATGGAAAAGCAGCTCCTTGGGCTGACCTCTAGGCTGGGGCTTTACTTGCAGAGCACCTGCTGTAGTGAGGCCCATCAGTTGACTCTCTTATTCTGTTCACTAGAGCTAGCATTGAATACAGCCCAGTTTGCAAAGAGTCTGGCCATGCTGGGGAGCTCGGAGGACAACACGGCCCTGTCCCGGGCGCTGTCCCAGCTGGCCGAGGTCGAAGAGAAGATCGAACAGCTGCACCAGGAACAGGCTAACAATGACTTCTTCCTCCTGGCTGAGCTCCTGGGAGACTACATCCGCCTTCTCTCAGTTGTAAGGGTAAGCACTCCTTTGGGGCAAGCTCTAGGCTATGCTGCTGGTCCTAGTACTCATCTTAGGTGTGCCAGGAGGCAGCTGGTCTTCTAAATTCAAGCCCGGGGCATGGCATGCTTCTGACCTCTCCAGGCAGAGGGCAAGCTTGCTGCTTGTCCAGTTGTGCACGTGTTGGAGTGGTTAGATCGGAGAAGTGGGGTAGGTGAGGCCTGGCTGTGCTGCTGTTCTCCAGGGGTTATGTGGGGCAAGTTCGTGGCTTGTAGGCGGCCTGAACCCTACCAGAGGTGACGGCTGTGGCTACTGCAGAGGCTGTGAGGTGATAACCTGTGATCTGGGTGTTGCAAATAGATCTGCCAAGCGCCTGCTGGGGAAGAGCTTGAGTCTTCAAGTCTGTGCAGCCTGCCTGTGCACTGGCCTCCTTGCCGGAGGCTGAAAGAAACCAATCCCAAGTGAGCTGCAAGTCTGGCAGACTGACTCGTTCCTGCCCCAGACATGTCCTGCCTCTGAGAAGTTGTTTCTGGAGGCTACAGAGGCCAGAATGCAGCCTAGTGAGGAGGCAAAGCCTCCTTGGTCTGCCAGTCTGTGTGGTGTGCGCTCCAGAGCAGCACCAAGATCTCTGATAGTGCTGGAGGTAATAAGACTTATCTGGGGTGTTCTGGTAAGGAGCCCTAGTGTTGCCTCAGACTTTACCTCTTTCTTGCCTGCTCTGTCCTTCTGACCAGGCTATCGGATACTGCTTTCTGCTTTTCTAGCTCTTCCCCACAGTCTGGCTGGTTGTGTTCAGAAGCCTCATGAGGTTTCCCTTGCTTGGGCTGGTGGTTTGCAGGCCTGCTAAAACCATCTGGTCTCCTGGCAGATGCCTGTGAGCTGCTGCTGGAGATCCAGTGTGGGATGGGGCAAAGGCAGCTCCTTGCGCTGACCATTCTCGATGGCAGGACTGAAGCAGGCAGGCAGCAGAGCTTGGGGATAGGCTGGACACTGTGCTTGGGATGCTGCCAGTTCAGTAAGTGGCCTCAGGCCTGTCTGGGCTTGCGCTGAACCCTGTGCATAGCTGGAGCTTTTCCAATTACTCGCCTGCCAAACTGTAGAGCAGGTGGGCAAATCCTGTGCTGCCAGCCCTGCACGGAGGGAGGTCCCAAAGCTGCTCGTGAAGCATGAGTTGGTTGATGTTGCACCTGGGCTTCTTTGGTAGTAGAGCAGTCCGTGTTCTGGCTCAGCTTTGGTTACACTGAGATGGGCGCAGGACCTCACTGATGAAGCAGCTCTGCTGTTAGCAGATGTCCCCCTTACCAAAGGCATGGTTGTCACTGTCAGCAGAGCTTCTTGCAGCTGCCTGCTGCTCCTGGTGTCGTAGCAGAGGCAGAGCAGAGCTCAGTCTCTGATCCTTCCTTTCAGGGAGCCTTTGACCAGCGCATGAAGACCTGGCAGCGGTGGCAGGATGCCCAGACCATGCTGCAGAAGAAGAGGGAGATGGAGGCCAGGCTGCTGTGGGCCAACAAACCTGACAAGCTACAGCAGGCCAAAGAGGAGATCTCGGAGGTAGGGAATGAAGAGTGCCGGGGTCTCTGCTCAGCTCCTTCTCTCTGCGCTCTGCCGCTGAGTGGTGAGAAGGGGACCTTCTGAGCTGAAGGGACAGGTATCTATTGCCAAGCTTGCATCAAGGGATAAGCTAGCCTTGAGCAAGCCCCACAGGAAGCCTGGGAAGCTGCAGGAGGGACTGCTTGTGGTCCCACCTCCTGTGGCTTCTTTGCTGAGCTTGCAGCAAGTAGGGGATGCAGCTTGTTGTGGTGGCGAGGACCAGAAATGCCAGACTTTGCTCCAGCAGAGCCTCTCATGTGAACAGTTGTGGCTGCGAAACCTCTTGGAGAGGGGAGTGAGAGCTTCTTTGCCTCCCCTCCCCTGGAAACAGCACGCTTCCTCTCTCTGCAGTGGGAGTCTCGTGTGACACAGTACGAAAGGGACTTTGAACGGATTTCTGCCGTCATCCGCAAGGAAGTGATACGGTTTGAGGTACGTTTGGCCCTGCCCTCAGCGTGCAACCCACCAGCTGGTTGGCCTTGATGTGCCTTGGCTGGGAACACCAGTCTGGGCTAGCAAAAGGTCACCTTGGCTCCTGACCCCGCTCCTAGTGCAGCGGTTGGCAATATTTGTAAATATTGGGGCACCACTGCCGTGGGCAGAGCTGATCTCTTTTGGCTGAGAGGGGGGTTCCACACAGAGAAGCTATCTGTTAAAACGAAGGTGCATGAGCAAAGATCCTCTGAGCCATTGGGCTGTGGCCAGAGATGAGCATTATCCTCAGCATCTCAGGCTCTTGTGCTGGTCTCTTTGTGGGGCCCCAGGAGGAACAGGAACAGGAAAATTCTGGTGGTTTCTCCCTCCCCCTCAAAAGCTGGAGGGTTTTGGTGGTTTGTTCAGCCTTGTACTCATTCCTGTGCCCATCTATTGCAGAAAGAGAAATCCAAGGACTTCAGAAACCATGTCACTAAATACCTTGAGACGTTATTAAACTCTCAGCAACAGGTGAGTAGCTCCAGCCCCTGCTGTGGTTTTACCTCTCGAAGCTCAACAGTGCGAGCTCGTGCCCCTCCTCAAGTGTGAACCCCCACTCTTGGTGTGTCCTGCTCCCCAGGTGTGGGGAGGGGTTGAACCTCCACGGGCTGGAGCAGGGCAAAATATAAGCAGTATTGCATCCCCCCTGATGCCTTCTTTTTTTGGGGGGGGGGAGGGCTGTGCTCTGTGGAAGGGCTTCTGCCCCCCTGCCCAAACGCTTCTCAACTTGCTCTGGGCTTGAACTGTGCTGGCAAACTGCCTGTGAGCTCCTGACTCCCCCTCTCTTTTCTCCGCAGCTGGTGAAGTACTGGGAAGCGTTCCTACCCGAAGCCAAGGCCATTTCTTAATTGGACTGACTGAGCAAAAGAGCATACCTGAACTTTGCCTTTTTTTTTTTTTTTTTTATATACACTATACCTCTTCCTCTTTTACATGTGAATGAACAGTAGTTAAACACTCTGGAGCTGGTAGAGGTTTAATCCCAGACAAGCAGCTTGCAAGCCAGTAACTCTTCTAACTGTATATTTTTCATTTAGCAACATATATTTTCTTACTGAAGAGAAACTAGTTTCCTGCTTTAAGACCAGACCTGCAGCAGAGTGTTAACAAGATACGTAAAATGTATATTTTTCAGGCTGGGTTTTAGGGCTCTAATGACTATCTTACTCCTGCAGTGCCATTAAAATTCTGTAATAAAAACTTCTATCAGGGCAAACAGGCTCTGTCTGTTCATGGGCTGGGGTGGGGAGGGCTAACGGCTGCATCCTGTGGATGCCGAGGGAGGCGGTGGAGTCTCCTGCCTTGTTGTGACTGGCATGGGGGGGTGACCTTGGGCACTGCCCCCACCACCTGTCCTGGCTCCTGATTAAGCTTTGGCTTTCTGCCTTGCTCTGCCTGGGAGCTGTTTTTAGGATCTGAGCTCAGCGGGGCTGGGTCGTGGCACTGCTTTGTGTGGTTTGGGAGGGGGGACCTGGCCCCCGCGACAGGCGGTGTGGAGCCTTTGGGGGGCTGTGGTGCACCTTTCCCCCATGGCCATGGGGCAGCTCTTTCTCCTTTGACACCCCCCCCTCCCCCGGACCCCAGCTGTGGATTTCATCAAAACCCATACCCCTTCTTTTGCAATAAAAAAAAGGCAGCTTGTGCTGACTTCTCACTTTCCTTTCCCCTTGCCCCTGTAGAGCTGGATCCCTGCACTACCTCCAGGCTCCAAACCTTCCCGCCCCCCCCGCCCCCAAGCCTGCTGGATTTAGAGCTGGGGGCTGCAGGACCCTTCCCCGGGGTGCTCTCAGGCTGCTTTTGGGGTCACCCCGCTGGGTGCCCGGGGGCCGTGGCTGGCCCGGAGCGGGGCTGACCCGACTCCCGGAGCCTGCGGGAGGTTACGGCGGCGCAAAGCCCCGGGGCCGCCCCCGCTGCCCCCCCCCTCCGCCCCGGCGGAC